TTTGAAGCACAGACTCGAGTGAGCTTTTCTTGAGTCACACGGGACAGATGAGTCCCACTTGGGAGGGAATGCTTCCTGGACCCAGGAAGCATTGCTCCATGCTCCATAGAGGAGTGGAGCACAGCTCTCCCAGAGGTAGAAAATGGCTTCACTATGGTGAGGTTTCTATCAGGTACAACCAGCGGTAGCTGCTATTGATCTAGGCACTACCACAGCACAGCCTGGAAGAAAAGGGACCCGAGGGTGCCTGGTTAGTCCTGGCTACAGACAGAAGAATGTTGTCAATTAAAAAGAGTTTTATTGTTTTTCAGATCACAGAAGGTCTTGGAAACATCGAAACAGTTCCTGTTGTCTAGCATTTGGGAGGTCTCTGGGCACCGAAAAGACGACCACTGAAAAGCACCACAGGACTCAGTGACTCTCTTGAATTTTCTTAACACTGACAGACTCAGGCTATAGACACATCTTTCTGATCCAATGTGATTCCGATGTCACAGATCTGCCTCAGCATGCTGACCTCAGTTTTGGATGCAGTGGATGTTTTCACACATGATATTAGGGCAGATAAGGGAAGGAAGATGGAGTTTTTGTCTTATGAGGATTCAGGCTATATCTCTAGATACCTGTTTAGTTAATATTTGACAAGATATACTAAGACAATACTACTTTTGGAAACCCATCACATGGAAATAAAGGCTCCTATTCACAAGGTATGTGTAAAAGAATATTTGCTATAAATGTCTCAGTGACAGGAAACTGCGAACAACTTGAAGTTCTCTCAATAAAGGGTTGCTTTTTTTTTAAGTGGGGTTCATCTATGCAAGATGTTTGTAGTTCTAAAAATTAACTTGCCAAAACAAATTAACTTGGCTATATATGTGATAACCTGGAAAAAGGCTTGTTTAATAAGGGATACAAGTTTCAAATGATTCAATTGCCATAGCAACAGCATGCACTGTGCACATGCTACACACCCATGCACACACACGTGTATACGCACACCATGCACACATACACACAATATGTACGCATGCACACACATGTGTGCCCACACACTTGCATATTACATAGATTTCCAGGAGCAAAACTCCAAGACCATGCAGGAAATGTCAATAGTGACACTGATGGATAAAGGGTTTTGTGTGTGTGTGTGTGTGTGTGTGTGTGTGTGTGTGTGTGTGTATGTGTGTGTGTGTGAGAGAGAGAGAGGACTATGCATGCATGTGAAGGCCGGAGGACAGCCTCAGGGGCTCAGGTGTTTCTCAGGGGCTGTCACTTTGGGGTCTCGCACTTCTCTGCAGCTTACCAAGCAGACTAGGATGGCTGGCCAGTGAGTCCAAACACCCTTCCTCCTGGTCTCCACATCTGTTGTGCTGGGATTGCAACCACATAACACCATGCCTGGCTTTTTTTTAATCTTTTCTTATATCTTTTTATCTTTAAAAAAAAAGTGGGTTCTGAGGCTCGAACTCAGGTTCTCATGCTTGCAAGACAAGCATTTCTCTGATCTCTCCTCAGCCCAGTGAAGTCTTAAATGAAAATCTAACAAAGACAGAAGAAAGTGATCATGATGGCTAAATGGTCTGTGAAGAAAACGAGCATACTCATTCTTGGTTTTATGTGGCTGGACGGGCTCACTGAGTTTTCAGGCTACCTGAGATCAGTCTCGCTTGTAGTCTGTGTTATGATCAAGGGAGATCACAGTACATTTGGAGCATTGAGGCAGGAGCACTTTGCAGAACTGTATCTTCATAATGGAATGTGTTCCGACCTTTCCTGGCATGCAGACTTACAGTTTTGGTGAAGAGATTACAGCTTTCAGGGTCTTCTTGCTCATCTCAATATTTGACCAGAAGTCATTGATCATAGCTGTATTTAACCTGTAGGAACCAATTCACAAGACTCCAAAAATGTCTGAGCCTATCAGGATGCTGACTGTACTAGAGTTTGTCATTGGACAAAATCTTCCCAGATAAGTACCACCAAGGCCAGGCCCTCAGCTTTCTGTCTTTTAGTCCAGAAACCTCACACATGCATGATCCATAGTCATCCTTTCATGAGGGTTCTTAGGAAAAATATGCCTTGGCTACTCTACTGGGAGGCCGAATGACTGCCAGTTGGCACTGGTGGTGATAGGGGGGTGCTTGGAAAGGGTTTGCTGTAAGAAGGTAAATATGAGTGACTCAAAAACTCGGACAGTTTTAGCAGGTAGAAAGAGCTAATTCTGTTGCGACAGCATTTTGGAATATTTTGGTGCCTTGAGGTTCTTCTGTGTCTCCAAAGAAGTTTGGACTCTATCATAGACCATTGAGAAAAATAAATATCTATCATTGGGCCCTCCTCATCCAGAAAGAAAGGTAGGTAGCGAAGGTATTAGTTTTTTTGGGGGGGGGGAGGGGCTATGTAGTTTGTATGTGTTCTTTGTACATGTTCATGGGGGTGCACGCATGTGTGTAGTTGGATATGTGTGAATATATGTGCGGTGGTCTGAGGTTGACATTTGATGTCTTTCTTGATCACTTGCCACTTTATTTTTTGAGACAGCCTTTCACTGAGCTTACAGGCCAGAGCTTATCAGCTGGCTAGTCTGTCTTGCCATTGGACTCCATGGACCCTCCTGTTTTTCTCGCACTCTCTTCTCCAGCACTGGGGCTATAGATGCCTGCCAGTGCTCTCAGCTCTTACATAGATGCCTGCCTGTGCTCCCGGTCTTACATAGATGCTTGCCACTGCTCCCAGCTCTTACATAGATGCCTGTCAGTGCTCCCGGTCTTAAATAGATGCTTGCCACTGCTCCCAGCTCTTACACAGATGCTTGCCACTGCTCCCAGCTCTTACATAGATGCTTGCCACTGCTCCCGGCTCTTACATAGATGCCTGCCAGTGCTCCCAGTCTTACACATAGATGCCTGTCGGTGCTCCCAGCTCTTACATAGATGCCTGCCAGTGCTTCCGGTTCTTCCATAGATGTCTGCCACTGTTCCCAGCTCTTACATGGATTCTGGGGATCCAAACTGAGGTCTCTGTTTATAGAACAGACACTATCCAGTAAGCCATCTTAGTAGCCTCTAGAATTTTTCCTTTTTAAATGTTTTCTGTAGTGTTGGTGATTGGAACGAGGAGCCAGGGTCCTGGCATGCCCTCTACCCTGTACTGTACTTCAATCCACGGGCAGGATTTGTGGACTTGATGGGGACAAGGCACCAAAGAAAACCCTATCAGTGCAGAACTATAGCAAATGCCTCCCAAATAATGTCACACATACTTATCGGACTCCAGCAGAAGACATCATATTCTGGTCTTAATGCCAAAAAGGAGGAAGCGTAATGCTTCTCAGGCCTTGGTGGCACTTCTGCAAGTTTTTCTTTGGAATAACAGGCCTACAGGCAGGCAGAAGATCGTGGCCTCTGGGTGCCACTATGATGAGCAAATATAGGGTAGAGAGATGGGAGAAGTCAAATGGTCCGTGTGCTGTGGAGAGAGGCTGAACATGCAGCAGCAGTGAGACATGGGCTGATGTGAGTCGCCTGCCCTGCCACCTGAAGCCATGCGATATCTGGGCCATGTCAGGGTCTGTGGCCCTGCCACAGCTGCCGTCTGTGTTGATATCTGTGACCCATGTTACCCCCAAAGGCTATGTATGAGAATGCCTGAGGTCTGGACTGAAGCCTAAAGCCTGTTGATGTTGCTCAAGGTCCCTGCCCCTCACTGGCCCTGGGAGAACTGGCCCCTTCACAGGAAAGCTGGCTCTTATATAGCATGAGCGTAGAAGAATGGCCTAGGCATGGAAGCGCTGGCCCTGCCCCTCGCTAGCTGCCACACATAGGGAAGCTCCCTTGCCTCTTGCTGGCAACAGCGTGGCAGAGCAGGTGGTGGTGTGGGCATAGGAGAGTTGGTCGGCCCCAGTGGCATGGTCAAGGAAGAGTTGGCTCTATCCCTTGTTGGCTGCCAGGGGGAGAGCTGGCCATTACTTGAGATGGGCACTGGCAGAGACCAGGGCTAACCAATTCAGCTACCATCCAGGCCTACATCCAGGGTTTTGAGTTGGCCCACCCAACATCTATGCCCTGCAGGAGCAGTGAAGGGACAAGTCCAGAAGAACCATAGCTTCAGGATCTCCATGACTCTGGGCAACAACAGGATGGACATCAAAGATGAGTCTCAGTGAGGGTCCAGTATTGCTGGTGTAACAGAAGTCAGAGGACTTGAACCAGACCAACAGCTCATTGCAATGAACATTTGCAAGAAAAGCTGTTTGGGCAAAAGGTCTACTGGCGACACACCACAGCTCACAATACCAAAATGACTAACGAATATGTGATGGAGAGGCTAGCGAGGCAGAAGTGGGTTTATTTTATCATTTTTATTCTTTTCGTTTCTTTTTGGGGGGTGGCTACAAAGATAGGGGGTGCACAGGGAAGGGGTGTATGTTGTGAAATTCCCAAAGAATAAACAAAAATTCAAACACATAAAACAGTGGGCCTCAGGTCAAGGAGAGAGAGCTGCAGAAGCTTTTGTCAGGAGAACCACTCAGGTGTGGGGTTGCTTGCAAGCTTGGACCAGGTAGCGGCTGCTGCAGCCTTGGCTGAACTCCATCTGGCCCAGACAACACTGCTGGGTTAGCTGCCATGTGTGGTGATGGCTAATGGCTATGGCCTGATTCTTGAGGAGGCATGGATCCACTGCAGTGTGCTGTGGTCCTATGTGAGTCCTAGTTCCAATGAGGGGCAAGAAAGATAGCACAGATTGGTCAGACTTATAACAGGAGTTTGCACCTACATCTTCCCAAGCAGCATGGTCTATAAGTTAGGGAAGCTGCATGCTTATTCTGGGTCTTTGGATTGATGGTGGTGGCAAGGCAGCCAAGGAAATGTTTGGTTCTGGAATCCCAGTATGGGCTCTCAGTCAAAATTAAAGAGTTCCAGAATAGGATGGGTGGGAACATCCAGGCCTCCCATGTTTACAAGTCATCTCCTGTTGTGAGATATTTTGATCGCATTTTGATACTCCCAAGACTAACAATAAAGTTAAACCTTGAATCAGAGGGTGGAGTCAACATTCAGCTGGTCAGAATTAACCATGGGGTTTTTGATGGACCATGATTATGATAGACACAGAAGGAACAGTGAGAGGCTTAGAAAGATTCTCGGGCCTTTCCAATCTGGAAGTGTGGAAAGTCAGAGTTAGCTGATTGTCCTTCCATTGCTCTCTAGATCTATAAGATCTGAATCCCAATATCTGACTCCCAAGTTTTATTTAACAGAACAATTTAATCACTTCCTCTTTTGCTTCAACTTCTTCAATGTCTCAGTCTAACTAAACCCGGTGACAGCAACCCCAGCTCCTCAGTGGCACCTCACAGTACCCGAGAACTTCCTCAAGGGTCTCATTCCAACCCTACATGCCAACCAGGCACCAACACAGCTTCACAGATCTCAGGATCCAGTACTGGTCACAGTGTCAGGGCACACCCCTGCAGGTCCAGCACCATGGAAGCAGAGGCGGGGGTTTTCCTAGTTCTGGCTCATCCTGGAGACATAGCAAGACCCTATCTCCAAACCAAGGGCTGTGAATGTGGCTCAGCGGTAGGGTGCTGACATGACGCCTGCTGGGATTGGAACCCAGCCCTGGAGGAAAACACCGAACATGCTTGTGTGTTAGAGGAAGACCTTGTCACATCGGGGCAGCTCCTGTGGTTCTGGAGGGTGTTTTCTATACCTCAGGGACCTCACAGTTCTTGTCTCCAAATATCTGTATCCGTTTGTCCTCAACATGGCTCTCTATTAGAATGGAACTCTTAAAATTCTTGCTGCCCTGATCAACTTCTCATCAGAAGAGGAACCACAGCATTGGTGTGTTTAAAGCTCCATAGATGGTTCCATCAGGCAGCTAAGGTTGGGAGCCACTGTCCTTTTCTTCAAGCTCCCAAGTTAGCTTCTCCACAGCTGTGTGTGGAATGAGGCATCCTGGACCTCCATCTTGATTGCATTCTGAAGGCAATTCTTTGGGTTTTGTCTCTCTTTGTGTATCTCCCCTGTGTTTTGTTCGGTGGAGACAATATCCCAAGGAGTAGCCAAAAGTCTACATGAAAACCTATTTAGATATAGAGACTATAACACATGGAAACTCTCTATTACGTTTAACTGACACTCCAAGGCAAACTGCAGCAAATGTTCACATATTTGCGTTCTCACCATCAGGTCAGCATTGTCCTGAACACATAATTGTTCCATTCAGCACATTCTGTTCTGGTGAAAGTCTAATGCAAGGAAAATGAGCTAGTGGGTCCCCGGGACCACTTGGTCACAGGACACATTGAACACACAGCCTGACAAGTGCTGAACGCCTCTGTCACCCCATGTTTTCTCACTTGCCACAAAACTCTCCAAAAGCTTTACAAACATTCTGGTCCAAGCGTTAAGGTGACTAAAAAATAAAACTCAGCAGAAGTCTGGTGGGTTCTCTTGCCTTGTTAAGCCAAGTTCCTGTTATGAACGAGGCGCCCAAGAGATGCTCAATCAGTAGCATGTGGGATAGTTAAACTAACGTGAAAAGAGAGTATTCTGATACAGAAAAGGGTTGGCTTCTGAGGGGATGGCGAGAAAACAGTCCTTGAAAGGGCCTACTATGTGTTTTTCAGACTGCATGGATTTTCATAACCCTGGGAGGTGGGTGTTCAGGCAATTCTTGTTGTGTGCATACATGTTTATATATGTGTATGGGGTGCATGTTGAGGCCTAAGCCTTTTCTCTACCCCAGTATTCAAGACTAACAAACCACTCCAAGCTCCACCTTTCAATGTGTGAATTTGTAATTAGGCAAGTGCACCGCAGGGACAGTAGCTCAGCTCCAGGAGGGTCCAGGGAGGGTCCAGCCATGATGGGTCACTCATGCTTCCCTCTGCCCACTGCAGAGCAACCCTAGTGGCCTAGATACCTCACTCAGTGACCCAGTCTGGCTTTGAGCTGGAATAGAAAACTCTTGCTGTAAAAACACAGCTCTCCGTGTCCCTTCCCCATTCCAACAGGAGCTGTGTCTGTACTTGGGGAGAAGCCAAGCACAGCAATGGATTTCAACAGAGAACTGAGGAAACACCCCCACTGAGGTTCTCATAGCAACATAGTCACATACAGCAGCAGCCTATTTCGGTGGGAGCCTGCCTCAGCGCCCCTCCTCCCCTGTTAGTCACAGAATGGATGAACAAGCAGAAGGAGTGTGGGGTGGGGACAGTGTTGGGTTGAAAGTCAGGAGGCTGAAGAGCTGGTTTCAGATGCTTCCACAGCTTGTCAAAGGACCATAAGAAAATGTCTCCTTCTCTCTGATCTAGGGTCCTTAATCTGCAAGAGGACTGGCCCAGTGTGTGGGTGGGGATCTTGCTTTTTCTAGTCTTGTTTGATTGTACAAGTACTGAGCCTCTTTTGATCCAACATCGCAGAGTCTTTTTATCTGGGAGAAGATGCTTAGAAAACAGAAGGTACCAGAGGGTAAGAGTCACTCTTTAGATGCACTTATAGCCCCGCTTCGCTATACAACTTTTGGAAGACTGGCAGGATGGTAGTGAAGAAGACCGGGTATCGTCAAAGATCGCTCATTTGTGCCCAACTCCAATTTAGGTCTGTGGACTGAGATGGTTGAGGTCATTCATTTGAATTTACTCTTGTTCAGAGCATATAATAAATGTGGTTCAGCTAACCCAAGCTTCTTGCTGCATTTTCTGTAATCCTTCCCATTCTTCACCGTCTCCTCTTCCCGTTTTTTTCACTTCTCACCCCCCACTTACGGCAGGCCGTGTCTCTTCTCTTTGCTGGAGGATCTGGTCTGATGGAGGAATTCAACATGCTGAGTCTGGTTTGGCCATTTTCCTCAATGGATCCGGGTTAGTTGAGGACAATTACTCTTACACTTCCTGGCTATCAAAGGTTACAATCAGGGCATTTGAATCAGATAAGTCAAATGGGGACGGAAATAAAGAGAGCAGAATGTAATGGGGGCATCTGTGAGGTCCCTGTCATTGGCCTGTGGGGCCGGGAAACCTGAAGTTCAGCTGTCTTTGAGCCAAAGTGTCCTGAGTGCGGCCTCCTTCCCCCATTGTTCTGTCCCCCAGTGCCTGACAGATGGCGGAAAGGGAGAAAAAAGCTCTCAAAGTGAAGACAGGAATGCATTGTATAAAAATTCACACCCCCCGCTGCCGCCCAAACTCCCTTAAAAAAGGATCTAGAGAATCCTAATGGGTACGTGACATCCTCACAGCTCTCTCCCATAAAAGGGACTTCAAAATCTGGTGATGGTGGGGGAGGGGAAAGGAGGGGGGAGGAGAAATGTGGGCCCAGGGTAGGGGGGCTGTCAGGCAAGACAGAGATAGGAAAGCTAGACAGCAAGTCGTTTCATTGACTTGTTTCTGATCATTTTCCCAAGCCACCTCGAGCGGCCACCTTCAACACAACCCGGTTCTCCTGAGAGGGGTTTGAAGCCCCTCTAGTCTTGGGCTCAGAGAGTGAAGGAAAGGCTAGATAGAGACGGCCTACTCAGTCCTAGAGTTGAAGGAGTTAAGGACCCCCCCCCCCCCCCCCCCCCCCCCCCCCACGACCCCCCTCCCTTCCCCCCCCCAACCCCTACCCCGGGAGGCCCCAGGTACTGGGGGGGGGGGGGGGGAAGATGGGGGAGAGAACGACGACGAAGACGAGGTAACGGTGGCCGAGTCTTGCCCCGGGTTTGCCTTAGCTAGGAGGTTTCTCACCCGGGTTGAGAACCTCCGACAGCCTCGCGGACTCAGGCTTCCGGGAGCCTGGCGCACGGCCCTGCAGCGTGCGCTCAACCCTAGCCCCCGCGCCAGGTGTGCGCCGCGACAGGAGCGGAGCGGAGCGCAGGCGGCCCCCAG